TAGAACAAGGTTGTGGGTGACTATATTGGCTCCAACGCCTGCCTGTGTGATGAAGCGGTGGAGGGATAGAAGGTCAGCGTACCTTGATTGGCGGAGCTGTGCGGCCATGACGGAATTGCAGGTGAAGATTGTGGGGCGGCAGTTGGAATAGATGGAGTGGCGAGTGAGAAGCGCCGCCTCCTCTAAATCATTCTCGCGGATCAGCGTGAGGATGCGGTTGTGGAGATTGAGCCTATTCCCCGTCAGTGCCGAGACCGTTTCGGGGATCTTGGGAGCATTGGGGTTAGGGTTTTGAGAGCTGGCCGGGCGAGGCAGTTGCTGCTGCTGCTGCTGCTGGCGAAGGGCGGAAATGGGGGGTTCGATGCGAAGGCGGCGCTTGCGTTTGCGGCGCTCCGCGGCGGCCTCTTCCGGAGTGGCGAATGAGAAGGATCGCAGAAATCGGAAGGTGAGCGGCGGCGCTTGGAGGCGGAAATGGTGTCTCGTTAGGGATCTGATGTGGTGATTGAGACAGGAGAGCTTCGAGGCAGCCATTTTCGGCCGGGACCAGAAGGGCAGGCGATGGCTAAGGAAGGGTTCTGCGTGGGGTTTAACTTGCGAATGGGAGTGTGATGAAGATGCGATTATACCTTCGTAACCGTATATCATATTACCATGCCTGGGCCTCGTTTGAAACCATTTAATGGTTCAAACTTCAGAGTTCGAGTTATTATACCCAAAGGGGCGGGGGCAGGTATAGGGCCGTGATGGGCCACGTCAAACCCACACATTGATATACGTGCAGTGTCGACCTGAACTACTATAAATATCTTAATTTGAATGCAAAAGTCAATAAGTTCGCCAAGAAAAACAACATCATTGCCCTCACTCAATCAAGCGGGGTGATGATGTTTTAATACTAGCGTTGTCAAAGTACCAAACACATCTGAAAGCACTGAAGATATTCAGTGAGAACCCCAAAGGCTCTGATACCGAACGAGGTGTCGTAGACCAAACGATTCAAATTAAACTTTGGCGTCTAGGGAATGTAGTAATCCTGTGGTGTTCAACGCACGTTGGACATATGCGTTCTTGAGTGACGACGATGACATAACAATCCCTCTGGAACTGAAACGACCCGTAGGGAGAGATAAGGCTAAAATGGTGTCATCATTGCACGCGGCCGCACATGATGGGCAGACTATCAACAGGTACAATTGGAGAAGATTCAGTTGAAACAAAAAGCTACGAGCGAGGCACTACGGTGGGAGAGCAAACACAACGAGCAAAAAGACTACGATGTTCCAATGTTGAGTGATGATCATTTGCCACCTCTGGGCGCACAGATATTCTAGAAATAAAAGATGAAATTAGACGGGAATGGCTTGAAAGTACGGCCGACTACTTAGGCGGTGATATTTGATTGTTTTTCTCAAGTAGTTGTACTCTTTTAGTATGCATTTCAATTATGCTAAGTATCGCTCTTTTTTATCCATTTTTTATTCTCGTACTTTTGTCATTGTAATTTTATTAAATATTAATGAAAATTTTATTTTATAGTTTATGTTTAAGTAATTTTAATTAAAATATATGTAATGAAGAATGTTTAAAAAATGGATGGCATTATTCACACCCTTAAAAGGTTATGGAATGTGATGGGAAAGCAAAGCTGACATGACGCTGAATTGGCAGAAAGGAATGGAGGTGATCATTCTAACCACACCATTTGGTCTAATGGTTAATGGGCCGGGGGTGATGAAGATGTGTTGAAATTCAAACTATTCAAACTACACGAGAAGAATGAAAACAAACTATAAACAAACTATAAACAAGCAATACAGTGAAATAGAGTTATATACAATAATTATCATAATTATAATACTCCCTCCTACAAAAAAGAATGTCACACTTTACTATTCAAAAATCACGAAAACTTTTATTTATTTGTACGTTTTCATTGATTATGTGACAAAATAAAATATTCATGTCAAATTTTATTTTGTAGAACTTTAGACTTATGTTCTAATTCTTTAAGTTTTAGTTTTTATTTCTATATCAATCTTAAATAAAATGAATTGAAAAAAAAATCAAAATTGTTTCATTTCGTTTTGCATAACGTGATATTCTTTTTGGGACAAATGGAGTATATCAAATTTAAGAAAATTAATATTAATCCCTACGTCCTATATCTTTCATCTCACTTGGACCTTCTAGTCAATTTTTTAAATTTTAATCATGAATTATGCTAAAAATATATTGAATTGTAAAAACAAACTATAAACAAACAATAAAGTGAAAATTTTCATATTATTTCTTTGACCCTACCAAGTGGGACCTGAGTTGTCCTCACAAACTAAGATACCTTTATTATGCCCTGTCAAGTGAGACTTCAACTTATTTTAAAATGATGTTAAACCTCGAGCTTTAAATACGAGTATGTCAGTTGCCCAGTGAGAACCCAACTTTCGTTGAAGGCTGCCATTCATTGAGATTTAAATCGTCGCCACAAATCTTGTCTTTCATGTGAAATTTCGTGATAGGGTAAACCAATAGCCAAACAAAACTAATTTGTGAATAAACAACACAAACAGAACGAGAAGTTGTGGCACAAAGATGCTAGAGCAGAAGTTACTAAGAGATGTGACTTGCAGAAACATCATGCTTTTTGTGTATAAAATGTAAACATATGAATATGCTCAAGAAAATAATCATCACATATGAATATGCTCAAGATCATGCTTTTTGTGTATAAAATGTAAACAATAGCCTAAAATACTAAATCTGAGAAAACATAATAAGTGAATTTATCTAAATAGTACTAAAACATAGTGACTTTCCCAATATAGCACCATGTGTTTTTATTTTCCAATGTAGTAGCATTGGTCATTGTCCACTGGTCATTGTTCAAGTAAATGTCCACCGCTATTGGACACTGTTCAAACTAAATGTCCACTATCACTGAATACATTAGAAAATGACATATATTTTAGTACTATTTAGTGCAAATTTAACAAGGAAGAAATACGAAAATAGCACTTTAATAGCCTTATAATACTCAAAATAACAGTGCTATTAGTTTTTGGAATGAATTCCCGTTTTTGTCCTTAAATAAACTCCCAAAATTAGAATTATACTGCAATGTATACTCTTCACTGCCACATTATAAATAAGTATGAAATTCTCTGCTCTTCACTGCCACAATATGTGTGAGATTGAATTTAGTGCCCTAACACATACAACACTGCAAAAAAAAAAACAGAATTCATTTTAAGCCGTGACTTTTTATTTTTTATGGTAATTATACACTGCAATATATACTCTCTACACTGCCACAATATGTACTTCTAAAAATTCAATGTCTGAAATACACTGCCACAATATATACACTGCCAAAAATTCAATGTTTGAAATACATTGCCACAATATATACACTGTCACAATATATCTACACTGCCACAAAACACAATAATTAAAAATAAAAATACAGCAAAATCCGAATAAAAGGATGCAAGAAAAAATTTTAACATTTAATCTTCACACTGCCCACACCATAAAACCTAATCTTCACGTTGCCAAAATCACAATGCCTTTCAAAAGACCTAATTTTTCAAAAGGGACAAATACTTGGTATTTCAAAATTGATTTCACAACATACACCTAATCTTCAATACAAAGAAAACACAATAATTAATACTAAAAATACAGGGAAATCCGAATAAAAGGATGAAGGAATGAAAATTAAAAATTGAAGGAGAAGAGAAAATGATTAGCGACATCAAAGATTAGCATGGGAGAGAACCTGATGATTGTCGCTGCTGATCGGCCAAGGAATCGTGGGCGAAGGACAGAGGACGCATCATCGCCGGCGAACGAAAGGAGAGACCATGGAGTTCAATAGTGTGCGGGAGAACGGAAGGAGAGATTGGAGTTGAATGCCGTAATTTTTAATGAAAAAAAAGGGGTAAAGGGTATGATAGGAAAGGATTGACACCATAAATTGCTAAATTTGTTAAAAATAATGAGTAGTGCTAAATGCGTAATTTAGGGTGAGTTAGAGTGCTATGTAGGGTGATTTCTTATTTAACAATATAATAAATAAGGCATAAAATGCATACAAAATATCTTAAAAACACTAAGAAATGAGGGAATAAAATAAAATATTTTGTGACTCAAACACAAAGAACTAACATCATGATCACACCAAACATATTGAGGTGGACTCTCATTTTTTTTGTGTAAGACTTGTCGAAGGCTCCCTATCCGCCCTGATCCCGCCTTTAGCTTGCAGGAATCCGCGTTGCTAACAGTTCAAATTTCTTATTCGCAAGTTGAATGGACATGTATTCGTTACATGTTTGATACGATATCGTATCGGGATAAGAAAGGATTAGCACCTTCGAGCTATGGAATTAGGGAAAAGGAAGAGAAAATCGCACGACACTTTATTCGGCAGAATAGAAGAACGAGAGGGAAGAGGAAAAGACTAGGGTGTAGGGAAAATGATTTCTTATTAATTGAATAATAACTCCATGATAGCGATACATTTATAGCTAGCATATCGAAAGAATCCTAATCACAAAGGTAACTAAATAAACTAGGAAACTAATTAATCACCTAACAAATATAATATTCCCTAATAATAGTTAACTAACTCTAAATAATTACTTACCATAATAATAATAATAATAATAATAATAATAATAATAATAGTCCCGTAACAGTGTTCTAATCTGAGGGGGCGTATTAAGAAAAAATTGACCTTGGTTACATAATATTTGCCTTGATTTGTTGATTATTTCTTCTTGTATGTCTTTCCTTATTAGCCTTTCCTTTTCTTCTTTTCATATTTACATTGTCTAATATTTTTCTATATATGATGATGTAAATCAATACAAAGAGATATAACCTAATGTGGTAAAACTATAAAAGTATAGTAGAAATATTCTGAAAGTCAATCAAAATGATTGACGTATATATACATACATGTAATTATAGCAATTGTATGTATAATGTATGTATTAATTATGTATGTATGCGCAGAGGATATATATAAATATATATGGTCATCATGTATCAAGTCCAGACAAAAAAGCCACTCCTGTAGACGGCAACCAAGACGAGCCCGAGATTAGGTGAGAAACAGTGAACCTACTTGCTTCTGCCTCCAGCTTGATGACTCGATAACCTGGCCAAGTCACTCGCCGGGCTAAACCGGCACCCGGCCCATGGTTCATGTACTCTCCATAGTACAATGTGGAAAGTGCAAAATCCCCACTCCACTCAAGCCACCCCCTAGGGTCAACATGGTCCCCCATGTAACACAACATGTACACAGTCCTCGAGTACATCTTCCAGGGTCGCCCTAAAAACGTAGGGAAGGTGCCCTTGGACGCCTCGAGGTCTGGGGTTGCCAGAATATTACTGGCGTGGATGGATATCCCGGTGATCTGGTTCGGGTCTTTTCGGTTTTGGGCCGTGATGGTGTTCTTCTGGTCTGGCAAGGGCTTTCTGGCGTAAATGTTGCATTTCTGGATGACAACCGCGGCGTTGCCAAAGATGAAATCCACAGTGCCGTATATGTCGCATTCCCGGTAGAACTGGCGCTGGGAGTGGACGTAGAGGGTGTCCTGGTACCCAATGATTTGGCAACGGTAAACTACGGCGTGGTCAGCTCCAATTCGGAGGGCCACCGCTTGATGCTTCACCGGACCCGCCGTGTTTTGGAATGTGATGTCTTTAGCTATGAATCCACGCCCAGTTGCAGCTGCATTATATATTTGAAAAAAAAACATGCATTTTAATTACTCATTATGTAATAAATTAATCAAATCACATAAAGGATACAAAGTGTTTACTACATCCGTCCTTAAAATTCTGTCTTCCTTCTTTTTTTCTTGTCCCAAAATGACTTTCTTCTTTTTTTGAAAATCACTTTTACTCCTATATTAGTGCTTACCTTACATATCACATCATATTTTTTCACTAATAACATACCAATAACATTTTACTTTTACTCATATATAACATCAAAGATATTTCTAAAAAGTCAACAAAAACATATCACTTCCAAAGTTTCATAAAAGCCAAAATAAAAATAAGATTTAGAGACAGAGCTCAGGGAGTATTTTTCTACTCCGTATTATCAACTTAGGGAGTATATTTTTAGATAGCTCTAACCCAAAAATCCACTTATTGGACAATTTTAAATATGGAGAATTTACTTAAATAGTACTAAAATATAGTACTTTTTCAATGTAGTACCATATGTTTTTATTTTCCCAATGTAGTATAACTGTTCAATGTCCACTGGTCATTGTTTAAGTAAATCTCAATTACCACTGGAGATTGTTCAAACTAAATGCACATCATTACTAGACATTGTTCTCGCCACTAGACATTATTCAAGTAATATTTATGGAATTAAAAAATTTAAGTGGTGCATTGAAAAAATCCCTAATTAATCATCATTTGAGTAAAAATACCCTCACAATTAATCATCATTTGAGTAATATTATTTATGAATGACTACTTAAATAATAAATCTCAATTATAAATAATCCACCACTCAATTATAAAACGTATTAATGACTAATTTGGGAGAAAACCTTATTAAAGAGGATCATCTAATTTAATTAAACTAAACTTGTTTTGACTTTTTAAATCAAACAGTGGCACTGTTTGATCATATTTAATTACGATGTAATATATTCAATACAATTGAGTTGTTTATATTATGATATAGTTTTGATATATTAAGTTTTCTAACATCTATTTTTTAAAATTACTCCCTCCGTCCCTAAATAAACTTCCATTTTTGATTTTTTTAGGATTTAAGGGAGGGATATTTTTGTGTTGACTTTCCAAAAATACCCTTGATGTGATGTGTAAAAGTAAGATGTGATAGGTATATTATTAGTACGAGTAAAAAGGTATGATGTGATATGTATGGTATGAAAAAGTAAGGGGTAAAAGGTGTTTTTTAAGGGAAAAGAGAAGCTTATTTGGAGACAAAGAAAAAACGAAAGGGATGTTTATTTAGGGACGGAGGGAGTATTTAATTAAGGGTTTTTCTCTCATGCCCTTGCAATTCAAGGGGCATTGATGCCCCTCCATTAATTGAGTGCCACATGGATATACAATGCCACCCAAGTCTACTGGCTCAATATGCCTCACTTCATTTATTTTTTAAAATTTGCAAAATGGTCCGCTATCCATTTCTTTCCTTTTTCTTTATAGAAAAACAATAAAATTAACCTTTATTAACTTATCTTTGTAGTGTAGATGACTTATTTTATTTTTTGTTGTTATTTATAACATTTTTTATGTTCATTATATTTAATTATATTATAACACTTTAAAAATAGTATGGAGTATTATACATTGTTTTATGAATTTTATAAATATTTTATATTAACCACTCAAAAAATAACATTTTTGTAAATGTCTATTTTGATATTTTAAAAGTTTACTTAATCATTTGTATTTATTTAAAGTATGGATAAATTCTAAAATACTTATAATCTTTTGAATACCTCCTAAAATTCTATAATAAATCTTACAAATTTCATATCATTAATTAACACATATTATTTGACAAAATCAACTTTCATTACCGCTATTTGTTTTCTTTAAGTTTTTCATTTTCATTTCGTGTATTATTCCTTAGATTTAAATATATGATTTTATTTACAACAAATTTTGAATTAAATTCATGTTTAAAAAATCTCAATGATTTAAATTACGAGTGTAAATAAGAAAATTTTTTAATATTTGTTACAATAATTAGTATATCTTTTATATAATCTACTCCTTGAAAAAAATACATTATCAAAATTTTTTAAAAAATATTCTGCTATAGAATTTTTAAATTAATTTGTCTTAATATAACTTGTTGACATAGATTTTTCAAAATATTTTTTAAATGTTTTAAAAAATAAAAATTACTTGTGTTTGAAATAAAAAATTTAACATATTTGTATTTTTTTGTTAAAAAAGTTCCTGTTTTTTTTTAATATGTCGGGGCAAAAAGAATATAGAGTGCCTTTTTTAATATTTAGTCAATTAAATATTCATAATTTTTTTTCAACCGGTTCCCAACCGATTTTCTTCATGTTTAATTTTCCCTTTGATATAGAAGTATTTTTTGTATACTTTTCTTCCTCTTCATTTTAAAAGAAATGTTATATCTAAAAGAATTAAAAAGAGAAACAACAAGTGAAAGAAAAAGTCAGAAAATAAACAAAAAAGGGAAATGAGCTTCAGGGCAAAAAAAAGAGAAAAAGTTTCATTAATTTTTTTTCATAAAAATTAACCAATAAGGGCCTTTTTTTTAGATAAAATATGAAAATGTACAATTTCAGACAAATAAAGTGTACATTAATTCTTTTTATTTCAAACACACAAAATTTTAATTTTTAAAACATTATAAAAAATAATTTTATAAAAGAATTTTAAAAACATTTCTGAAATGAAGAGAAGAAAAAAGAAAAACCATAAAGAAAAAAGCACGAGTAATAGTGCTCATTTTCAAAACCATAGAGTGCAAAAAAGTTATTCACTTAATATTTGAAAGAGTTTTTTAATCGTGAAGGGTTATTAACGTCCGAATATCATAACTATGGTGGGCAATGGTACAAATTTTGAAATCATGAAAAACTAACAGTAAATATTTACTTAACTACAAGAAATATTATGTAATAAACTCATCATTAAAACCTCTAAATTAATAGAGTAAAAAGATTAAAAAGATAACTTCTTTGAATTACCGTAAGGAATGGAAAAGAATTAAGGAAGTGACATGGGGCCATTTTACAAACTTTTAAAACTTAAGTGAGGCACGTTTAGGAAGCTTATGTGCATCAAATTACACATGGCAGTCATTCAATGGAAGGGCATGGATGCCCCTTGAATTTAAAAGGCATGAGAGAAAATTCCTTTAATTAATGGTTAAAGAGTGTCATCGTTTGATTAAAAAAGTAAAAACATAAAAAATTCATGGGTCGAATGAAGTATTAAATTGCCGGTCACATCCTATCTTTTTATTTTTATAAAGACTTTTGGGACGAAGGCCGGATATAGTTTTTATTTTTAGATCGTATTATTAAATTCCGTGAATCACAAATATGATTTTTTTTACAGTTGAAAATTAAAGGAGAACATGTGTTTTCTCCGGCCATTGATCTGTAAAGCGTGATTTATATAAATATATGCTTTTCAAAATCACAAACCATAAATATATTTAATGTGTACTTTTCTTTCTTTCTTTCTTTGGTTTAATTAATTATTAGCAATGAAGAAAATAATGCACACACGGTAGACACGCCAGTGTCAATTAATGGGTCGTCTCCTCACACATCACATGCAACATGGACACTAGGCCGGCCGGCCGGCCAATATATATACATAACAAACAATTAATTTATTATTTCCTCTGTTTATAAATAATGTTCTTGTTGCATCTTATTATGATGTTTGACTGAATTTATTTTAAATCATTTTATATGAAAAATAGTACTACATAAAATTTACATATTAAAATATTAAATAAAAAATCTACAAAACTAGAGGTGACATGACTATATTATTTTATCAAATAGGACATGAATATAGGCCAATAAAATTTGAATAGTGAACGAAAATTTTATTGTTCGACGGAAGGAGTATATTATATTATTGGTGGGGGATATGGACAAGGAAAGGCCATTATATATTCCAATTCATTTGGGGCCTCGCATGCAATTAGATGACACTAATCCACGTATAGTGGGTTGTTTGATTGAGACATTATTGTTTGGAATATTAATTCGCCTCTCCAAAACACAAATGGAATCTTACGTACGAACAACGAACATATGCAAAGAAACTTGCTTGTTAAGCATGCATGTGGAAGCTTTCTAGCTGCTACTTGTCAAAGTCTTCTCCCTCCCTTCTTTTTTTTCTTTTACTAGCTCTTTACATGGTAGCTTTTGGTTGTGTTTTATTAGGAAAAGGTGGATGTTTTGGAGTAGACCTAACTAAGTTGAATTATACTTCCTTTGTCTATTATTTGTCCATTTTTAACTTTTCTCTGTCAAAATTAATAAATTTTGACCTCAAATTAAATAAAAATGGTATTAGATATTGATACAAAAAATAGTTTTATTAGACTTATTATATAAAATATTTTTGAAATATTATTTTATCTAATTAAAATAGAATATTTTAAAAAACCATGTATATTTAAAATGATTTTATTTACAAATTGGTATAGAAATATAAAAATTATATATTTAAAAATTACATGAAAAGTTTTATAAAGCATGAAGTGTCAATAATATTTTATTTGATCAAATGCTAAATAATAATATGGAAACAAACAAACGTTATTAATTAAAAGCTCGTAATAGTAAATAGGTTCACCATCATTTTGGTACGGAGGAAGTATATAAATATAATTAATATATTTTCAAATCCCTCAAAACAACATCAATTATATAAATGAACTCGCCCACTAGGCCACAACACATAAAGTAAGAACATTTTTGTAAACTATCCACTTTATTCTCATTTGGATGGTTATTGTGTCAAAAAAAGTGAATAACAAACACACTAACAAGACATGAAAGTGCGTCGTTTGTATGTTTAATCCATTAGGACCATACCACAATTGAGAAGAAAAGATAGATGCCAGAAATGAATGAGAAACGTACTCTAATTTTACTCCCCTTTTTTTGGAAAGGAAAGTGTGATCTAATTAATACCCTAGGGGCCTCAAATTTAAAGTTTTTAGCACCACTTTTTTTCTAAAAAAATATACTCGTATTTTTTTACTCTATCACAAGTCACAACATAGAATGAAATCATGTCTACATTTTTTCTTGCATTTTTTGTAATTATTTCATAATATAAAATCTTCAAATTAAATCTTGGATTTTAAAAGTTTTTATGTATTTGTAAAATATACTCCTTGCGATCTACTCCGTATAAACTTCTTGGCCTTTTTTTCTTGTCTCACAAAATCTTTCCTTTTTTATTAAAATTAATCTTTTATTCTACTAATTCTTAACCTACTTATCACATTATACCTTTTTATTAATAATCTACTCTTCACATCATACTTTTACCCATCATATCAAGGTATTTTTGGAAAATCAATACAAAAATATCTCTCATTAAATTTTCTAAAAATCAAAATGTGAACTTTATGGGACGGATAAAGTATAACTTATATTTTTAGTTATATAGAGTATGAATTTTCTAGAAATAAGTTTTATTTTTAAATAAAAAATGATTTTAGAGCATTTATTTTTCTACTTATTTTTATTACTTATTGTTTATTCTGATTGGAATCTGTTCGATTTAGATCAAACCTGTCCAGATTAAAAATAGTTTTAATTATACTATATAATTTAAGATCAAATAAATCAGAATTCATTTCAATTACATCAGAACATCAGAACATGTTGTTATTTATTGAAAGATAAAATTAAGAGGGGAGGGAGTGGTTACCAAAAGACGCGGTGTGGAAGGTGGTGAGCTGTTGAGCAACACTTTTGCTGCCCGAAATGACCGTCTTGCCCTTCCCATCTCCAACTAACATCACGTTTGTTTTCTTCTTCCCAATTTTCAGAGTATTGTGCTCTTCGTACCTGCATCATGTGCACGTATTTTTCAAGGTACCACCAGAGAAGCATCCCGTACCACACTCATAAATTCATAATCTAATCCAGCTATATAATTAATACTTACGTACTCCTTGGAGATTAATTTCCATTTTCTGCCGACAATTAATTTTCTCATCATTAATTATTGCAACCATTATCCACATAAACTTCCGTAATTAATTAAATTTCTCTCCGCACCTTCCTCCTTGAACCCGGCCGACAGCCCTTAATCAAACTTCAAACCTCACATGATGTGTACCATAATACTCCACACTTAATCCATTAATTACCGGTTAGTCCACTTCCTCATCAAGATTTAATTGACTTTTAAAAAATAATTAAAATGGTTTGTTAATTGTTAGCCCGGCCCCCATGTCCATTCAATTCCCACTGCACCATTAAATATTTTTTACTCCGAACGTTTTGGGTGCAAAACGAATGGAAGTCAATTGGTTGCAAATGTTTCCCAACACAACAAAACACTACATGTAGAGCATGGGTGCAAACCTACCCTCATATCAAGGAAGAGAGAAAAAATGAACCCAAATTAAATAAAAAGATAAAGCTACTTGTACCCCAACCTTTTGTATCCCACTTTGTACCCCAATCTTTTGTATCCCACTTTGTACCTCGCATGTTTGTACCAACATTTTGTGTTGGTGTAAAGTTAATTTTTGTTAACGTACAAACACTTTGTGTCCGTGTAAATTTTTGTTAACGCACCAACATTTGTGTCGGTGTAAACCATCAAAATGTTTGTATATAACTGCGGTGTACAAATGGGGTACAATTTTTGGTGTAAATGTAGCATTGTACTAAATAAAATACTTTTAACTCAATTCATTAGTATGAGTTTTTAAAGAAAGTGCTCAAAAAGGAATCCGACTTGGTCCGAGATTAGATCCATCTGGGATGAGAAATTAGGTCCATCAGTCGAAGGAGGACCACGATCTTAATATGTTAGCTCGAAAGTTAGGCAAAAGCACAGATAATTTGATTGCGGGTGATATTGAGACTTTCTACCATCACCCTAACCCACATTAGTCCCACATTAGTTGTTCACTTTGGTCATACATACTCCATAGATTTTTCATTTTGACCACTTCCAAAAAGTGTCATACTTGAATCCTTATTTATTGGTTAGGTTCTTCTTCCCCCATGGTAATTGGATTTGTATCTCAACAATCCTCTCCTCAAATTAAGGACCACACAAGTGCACAACTTTCCCGTAAAGAGTAATAATTTATTTGTTCTACCAATCAACTCGCAATGTCGTATTTACAATTCTGTAAGACACACTGCCCAAAGTCCTCATTGTCAAGAAGACTTCGATACAAAGCACTAACTGCAGATTGATCTCCAATTAGCTTTGTCACATGATCTCATCTAGAAAATAAAAGTATCTTTTACTCCTGTTAGCAGCCAATGAGAGATGCCACAATACCATGCCACCCCTTCCCAAGAAGGCTTTCGGAAAAAGGTACCACAAGGTTTCCTCATTTCTATTTTTGTTGTCGAACCGAGAACTTATATAATGCAGTCCATTACGCATGCCTACTCCGAACATTGGCAATGATACCACATGCTGAGACTGCCTACCATAAACTTAACCAGCACTAGTATGAGGTTGGATGTTTTTGGTCAAGCAATCACAAATTTGTTATTACACTTTCTAATAGGCCTCATAGTACTGGAATTGCGTGAAACCTTTTATATTGGTACCTAGAAAAGTGATCGACTCGACTCGAAAGCGATGCCCATCCGGAGAGCGCGAATGAAGTAATTAGCAAGCTAAGGCAGCTATGTCAATTGCGTGAGACGCTCCACACATAAATTATAATAACAATTCTAGATTTTCTGAACGACTAGGAGTGGATAGTTACAGGCGAACTCATCTACTACAAATACATATCTCCATGCCAAGAGATGGTTCTTAGTTCTTAAGATTCACTCATATTTCATATATCCTTCATTGCCCTTCATATCATGATTCATGAATAATTCATCAAAAAAGTTATAAACTATTATCAAAATTATACTCCTTAGTTCACAAAACCTTTTTTATTTTAACTTTTAAAATATTTAAGGGTAGTGTTTTTAGTGTTGGTTTTAATAGTAGATTGATAGCAAAAAAGGAGCCTACAGCTAGTAATTACAGAGATTCTATGATTATCATAATTATCTACTATATGACAGTTCTTCACCTATTTAGAATGAGTCCTCCAAGGCTATTGGATAATACTCCTTCCGTCCTAAAACTTTCTTCCCAGAGTACTATTCTAACTTCAAGGGAATTTATATTTATTTGTGTTTTTTCATGGCTTATATGATAAAATAAAATATTCTTGTCACCACTTGTTTTGTTGAACTTTTGATATAGTTTTTAAATATGTATGTTTTATTTTTTATTTCTATACTAATATTTAAATAAAATAGGTTGAAAAAACTTGTGATTTTTATTCGTTTTGCGCAACGGAAAGAAAGTTTTAGGAGGGAGGGAGTAATACTTGGGTAACAAACTGTCAATTTTGAAAGTTCTTCCAAAGGCAAAAACAGGATCTAAAAGTGAGAAAGATGAACTTACACTCCTTCCTTAATGTAAATAATGGTCCGGCGAGTGCTGTGCTCCGGCACCTTCTTTATGGCTTCCCCGATCGTCTTCACCGTCCCGCTTCCGTCCTTAGCCACAATTATATCTGCTCGAATAGGAGACCCGGGCATGCTAAGCAATTTCCGATCACTCTCCGACAACCATTCCGGGAACTCCCCCTTCTCCAAGAGTTTGCGCCGGCGGCGATTCCCTATTGGCACGCCGGCGAACTCATCGCCGCCGTCCGTGGAGGCGAAGATCGCCAGTGAGTTGCTCACCAGCTCCGTCATGTCCTTCAACCTCTCCGCCACGCTGTCCTTCACCGTCCCGTTATTGACGCCCGAGAATCCCTCCGAACACGTGTCGTGATTGGTGAGAGCGGCGCTCAGCCACGTGGCAACATCGTCCGGGGAGCTTCCTCCGGATCGGAGGGCGTTCAGGGAGCGGTCAAGGAGGTCAACCGAGTCGTCGAGCAGCTCGAGACAATCCTCGTAAGCGGACCGGACCAGAGTGTCCATCTCAAGATTGTTGACGTCGTTGATCGCGTTGACCGCCGCCGCGGCCTGCCGGAGAGATACGTTCACGGAAATGTGGACCAATTCCGCCTCCGACGCGGCGGTGGAGCCGGGGAAGTCGAGGAACGAGCGGAGGCAGAGGCTCGGGTACAGAGTCTTGCTGCAGGTTCGGGACATGGCTCGGCTAGGCTTGGAGGTTACTCTGTTCCTGGAGGAGGACTTGCCACGTGTACCGACCAGAACACCCACAGAGACGGCGGAGGCGGTAATGAGGACGGCGGCCAATACGAGGACGAGCTTGACGGTTGACCTGCGTGGTTTAGACGTGACGTCATCGTCATGGAGGATTTGCCGGCGGGAAGATTCTCCGGGCTCCTTTCCGTTTACGGGGTGGCCCATTTTCTTTGGTACTGAAATTGTTGTTACGGAGAGTACGTCGTGTGTTGAAGCAAACTCTATTAGGCTTTTGGCGTCTTTTTGTAGCAAAAAAAGGGAAATAAAGTTAACACAATAACGTGGGACCCCTTTCATTTTTTAGTGTTAGCATACTCACAAAATGAGTTTAAATTTGTGAAGCACTGAAAATGGATAGACATTAGGTTGCGACTTTGATAGGCTTCATCAGTATATTACTTACCCTTCCACAAGCCAAACCCCTCACTCCCGCAGGACATATGAAAGTGATCTGGGGCCATTTGGTCGGGGTCCAGGGTGGCCTAGTATGGCTCGGATAGGCCCTCGGGCCCATAGTCGGCCTCGAATAGTAGTAGTCAGCCGCGTACAACTGTATGGTACTTAGACCTTCGAATTGTATTATTAATTTTTTGAGCCATTAGCAAAAGGGGAGCCAACTTAATATGTTAAGTGAGCCCGTAGTTGTTTAGAAACTTGAATTATTGGTTTGTGTAGGAAGTCCACCTAGGGGTGTTCATGTTTTGGTCTAAACCAAAAAAACCAATTGAACTAGACTCTTAAGTTTAGACTGAACTCGGACCGAATAAATTTTGCATTCCTCTTCAGGGCAAAATATTTTGGGTTTCGAGTTTCGGTCCGGCCCATCTAAACCCAATTCCCACTCGGTCCGCACCGATGGACCAACAAAGCCTCATAAACCCCATTATGCTCCACATACCATACTGTGATTAATTCTATCCATTCATATCCTCCTTCCCTTATGACCTTATCTCATGTTCACTCTTTTATTTTTTATCGTCAATTTTAGCAGCCACTCACTCTTCTTCTCCGTGCGTTGCCCAAAGGAAAATATGTGAATTACCCAACAAAAAAAAGCCTATCAGCAGCAAATGAGTGTATAATTTAAAGTACAAAGCTGATGGTTCCTTGAAAAGGTTCAAGTCCAGATTGGTGATCACGGGTTGTACACAGAAGGTGTTAAATGAAAGAATATATTTCCATATATTCTTTGTATATATTATTATGGTAGTTTCCCGATTTATATTGATTTTCTTTCCTTCCGTATATATTTTCCATAAAGAGTTCCTAGCCTGTGGGATCCTATACATGTAGCCTTTGTTTCATATTGTGAACATCAGAATACAAGAGAAATAATTCTCCCGAATACTATTCTTTCATGGTATGAGAGCATTAAAAATATTATTCCGCTGCTGCTGCTGCTCACGGTCGACTGGCATCGTGACCATCGACCATTATCTACCACTGCCTGTCCATCGACCGTTGGCTGCTACAGACCCTGTCATTGCTTTACCTATGTTTCCACATTAACCATGACCTATGTTTTACGATGACGTCGTATCTCGCCGTATGATTTGTCTCCTAGCGATAATCCTGGTATGCTTTTAACTCAAGTTGTCTTGAAGGAAAATAATTATGATGAGTGGTCCAAATCTCGACGCTTTACTCGTCGAGCACGTAATAAATTTGAGTTTGTTAATGGAACGATCAAAATTCTGGATTCTGATTCTGAGATTCGGATGATTGGTTAACAAATCATTCGCCTTTGGTCTCTTGGATTTTGAACACTATTGATCCAACCTTTAGATCTAGCATATTGTTCGGTGAAAGTGCCTTTGATTTGTGGAATGATCTGAAGGCCCATTTCTTTGTTGTGAATGGACCTAGGGTTTAACAGTTGAAGCGGGAGTTAGCGGAGTGCAAACAAAAGAACCTTTCCATAATGGAATGTTATGGGAAGATGAAGAAATTGTGGGATGATCTAGCAGATTTTGAAGATTCTCCAGTGTGTGTAAGAATTGCACATGTGACATTCCAGGAATGCTTGCACAGATATGTGAGACGCCCTGAAAACCGATCATGGTACGAAACCCTATGGTCAAATCTGCTGGCAAAGGAACCTATACCACCTGATGAAAGAATCTATAGTATACTAATATAGGACGTGCAACACCCTGAAATCCGGTCTAAAAGTTATTCACTAATTAAATACTCCCTCCGTCCCGGAGTATTCGTCCAATTTTGGTTTTTGGAACTGTTCATCTAAGCACTTTGACTCGTCAAATTCTCTCAATATGTAAGCCTAAATATAGTCATGTGTGATCCTGTTTGATTTGTCTTAACGTATAGATTATTAATATATATTTGCTATAATTTTTTAATATACAAATTACAAGATAAAATGGATTAAAGAAGTGTATTTGATGGTGTGTAAAAATGAAAGTGGACAAATACTCTGGGACGAAGCTAGTAAATAATAATTATTTATTTAGGATAATTTGTTCTCTAAAGAATTAAAAGATACTTTAGAGATTCTAAAGATCTCACTATAACGTGACTAATTTGATTATATTTGTAAAGATTTTTAAGTTAAAAGACTGAACCATGTTAATTAATCAAAAGAAGTAAGACAGACCAGATGAAACTTGGAACTTGGATAAAGTTGGCCCGAAAAGTGTATTTTTACTCAAACACGTTATTTTAAATTGCGGAACACAAAACTCTAGGCATATATATACTCTTTTTGTGCGCTCAGTAGATCTCTACCTTCTTCTTCTTTCGATCGTTGCCAATCCGCAGACCACCGCCCTCGCCTTTTGCTCTGATCAAACATAACGGCATAAGGGCGAGACCCCGACGTGACAGTTCCAACCAACACGCCACGCCGCTCGCCAGGCCTTCCTCTCCGGTTCAGCAACGATCTATAGTGATTGGATTTCCGGCGAGAGTAGCAGCGATGACGACAAATGGTTGCAAAGCAGCACCGGCCTGTGTCCTTTCCGGCAACTGCGAAACTCCTTTAAATGCTTGTGTGGATCCTCTCCTAGCTAGTAATCCATGAAAATTTGGTAAAAGTTGTATCAAACCTGACCTAAGCTCTAGGGGTGCATTCAATGTTGGATATAATGAATGCAGAGTGGTTGATGGTCAAGGTTTTGTGTAGCCAAATTCCTGATGGTGAGGTTCTGATTGTTTGCGATGTTTCAATCATCCTCATGTTTAAATCCGGTCGCTTTGCTTTATTCCTTTAATTTGTGGTTCTGCCTCCTGCAAGTAGATTCAATTTTCGGATCAAATGACGCTTGAGGAGATAAACCTTAAGTTCTTCTGTAGATCAAAACTTTTAGAAAAAATCGATATGCAATAATAAAAGAAAGTAAATTAAAATAAATAAAGAAAAGTTAAATAAAGTAAAAACAAAAAACAAAAACTTCTAAACTAAAAAAACTAAGGAAAAAAGTTGCTAGTCTACTTTGCCCTCCTAGGCAAGAGCGCAAAAAATTTGGTGTGTGTGGTTTTAACACCAAATAATAAAACTAAATTAGCATGTAGATATGGAGAGTTTAGGTGGATCCCACAGAAAGGCAAGAGTGAACTACTAATTCTTAGATTTTTTTCTTTTTTTTGAAATTGATTTACAACTAAATAAAATTAAAAATAGTAAAATAAATTTTAAAAGTAAACAAAGCAACTGATAGACGTTTAAAAGAATTTGATTAAAAAGTTTTTAATCCCAAGTATTAAATCATTAATTTGATTCGATCATTGGCATAAAAGATATTTATTCATTAAGATAGTTGGCGTAGGTTATTTGCAAATACACATAAATCCATAATTCACCTAAAACACTTAAAAGTGACAAACGCCACCAATTAAGCCTAATTGAGAGTCTAAAAGGCAACCTAACTCTATAACGAACGACTAGGATTAGGGCTGCGCATTAACAGGTCCAGACCGGAATTTAGACCTGAACTGGACTGGAATGGACTGGTTCGGATAGGCCCAGAATATTCAGGCCATGTCTTCGGTCTTTAAAAATTTAGAATTCTGAGTTTCGGTCTGGACCAGTATATAATAAAATATTAATTTTTTTAATAATCCAATAAATCCAAGCCCAGAATGTAATAGCTCAAACCTCACTAGTCAATCCATTAGACCATTATCCTTTCAAGCTAAGTTTCTTCTTTTTTCAGTTCTCTTAGGCTCCTAACATGTTATGTTACTTAATTTCAATTTTTACTCTAAGTATTTTCTATTATTTTGTACTTTGAAGCTTGAATTTTTAATTGAGATTTTTTTCATGGATTTTGAAGTGTAATGAACTTATATTATCAATTTAATAATTGTTCTCCCTTGTGAATTGTTATTGTTATGAATTTGGGGATTGATTTACACACACACACATAATTTAGATATGTAAATATCTAAATTGCAATGACGAGCCACGACGAAGACGCTTAGTAGATGGACCGCCGTGCAGTGGCGAGCCACGACGAAGGAGTTTTTCGCCGTCCCCAACGTCCATTGCAATGGAGGCATTTTTGATAGGTGACGGTGTGCCAAGGCTCCACACTGTTTTAAATAAATATATTCCGGTGTTATTTCAAATATTTTGCAAGGTTATTTAAAATAAAGTTTTAAATGTTTCAAATTGTGATGCTACCAAATTAATACTTTTGTCTGAAACGGGCTGAGACTTGAACGGATTAAGGTGTTACAAAATGAACTCCAAACACAAACTAAATAGTGAGTCAAATACTGACGCCACGATATCTAAAAACTTAGATGTTGCGTGTACACACTATGGAGGCAATCCATCCCTTGTCGTTGAAAGCAAAATCAAGGAAGACCGAATTATGAACCTGACGAACTTGTGATATGACTCGAATGAAACACCAATACGAAAAATTCTATAATAGTGCCTTGAACGGTATAGAAAGAGAAATTTTTCTTGGGAATGGTGAAGCTATTCACCTACCGATAGCAGTAATATGAAGCAAATTTGTTGAACTGTTTATCTTAGAAGAATTTCGAGGACAAAATCCTTTTACGAGGGGAATAAATGTAACGCTCTAAAATCCGATTTAATAGATAACCGTATTTTGAAATAAGTTAAATATATTTATTTTGTAGCTACAAATATAAACTACTTATAAAGTCAAATGTTTTATTCAATTTTGGTGTCATTGGGTAAATCTCTTAGAAAAGATTACCAGCAACACATCATTTGCCAAAATCAGACTTGTGCATAAAAAGTTATGCACAAAATAGACATTAGAGTAGAATAAATAAAAGGAAATATTTTTTAATAACAACATTATTAAAGTAACTACTCTCTCCATTCCATAAAACCCTACCCTTTCATTTTTTTAATTCCCTAAAACACTTCCACTTTCTATTAAAAAATCATTTTAACATATATTTTTTATACCCTACCTATTAAATCATATTTTTTTACTAATAATCAAACTATCACATCTTACTTTAACCATCACATCAGAGCAAAATTGGAAAGTCAATCAAAATTATACTTTTTTTATTTTTGTTAGAGCATCTCCAACCATCTTTGCTATACTAAAATGCTATTCTTAAATTCTAACTAGTGAATAGTAATTTAGCAAGTAGTTTTTTACTCCATTATCCAACCATGCTTGCTAAAATTTAGCTAACAACTAGATTTTAAAATATAATGAATTCCCTTTTAGTAATTAAAAATGAATTAAAGTGAACTAATTCACTAACGGGGGAAGAAGAATGACCTTTTCATGTGCCTCTCCCTATTCCCGTTTTTGGACTTTAATTTAATTTTTATTTATTTTCTTGGCTTGCTTTTATTTGGATGGCTTGCTAGGTTTAGCAAGCCAATTTTATTTTTTGACAAGTATATTAAAATATACCATATCCCTTGGAGATGGAAAAAAGAGATTCACTTGCTATTATATAACTTTTAGCAAGTCATATTGATAAGGTTGGAGATGCTCTTAAAAGTCAAAAGTAGAAGAGTTTAAAAGAACGAGGTACTCCCTCCGTCCCCGAGTGTTTGTCCACTTTCATTTTTGCACACCATCCAATGCACTTCTTTAATCCATTTTATCTTGTAATTTGTATATTAAAAAATTATAGAAATTATATATTAATAATCTATATGTTAAGACGAATCAAACAAGATCACACATGACTATTTTTAGGCTTACACATTGAGAGAATTTGATGAGTCAAAGTGTTTAGATGAACAGTTTCAAAAGTCAAAAGTGGACAAACACTTAGGGACGAACCAAGTAATATTTATGAAGAAAGTGGTGTGGAATGGAAGCATATCTTCGCACTAACTTCTTCATCCATCTGCACGACACCAACACACAAATACTCCTTCGTCCTCCTCCCTCTTTCGATCGGACGAAGAATCCGCAACCGTTCAGGAACTGCGACCAAACTTCGTTCCTCGTCTTCCTTGATCCGTCACCGCCGCCTGACCTCCTTCTTTGATCTAGCGACACAACCGCAGGGAGGACAACAGATCTCCCGATCACGATGCTGCAACGGCGACCAGCAACCTATCCCATAGCGGCGACCAGGCTAGCGACTTCAGCTAGTGATGGCGATTCCGACCGTGGCACCCTGTTCCCTCTATATTCCGGCAATTCCAGCAGCGGCTAGCGATTTCCACCCGGCGGCGAGCCTCTTCTCCGGCTAGGGTTAAGGCGGTCAGCGGCGGCGAGGTAGGGCAGTGATGACATCTCTTTAACAACTTTCTCCTGCTACCAAGATCAAATCCAGCGACCTTCAGCAGCGATGGAGATCACCATTAACATCCGGGCAGAATTGAAGGTGGCAGACCTAACCCCATGACTTCTGGGATCTAATGACGGACTTGGGTAGCTACGATGCAAACCCCCGTTGACACTCTGTTTGAACAAGGTTCTCTTTAATTGAATCAAAACGAATCGAGGTGCGTATGTGGACATCTAACACTAGGATATGCATTTAGGTTTGAAATTCTGTTCATAATTGTTATCGTGATTGATTTTTATGAAATACATGTTGAAATTGTTTGATTGTTACTTTGCGAATGTTCGTTGAATCACAAGGGTAGAGCACATGATTTCGGTGTTGATTGATTATTGAATATGTCTGATTGGGTGAATATATTTGTTACGGAATATAGATCTGTCTAAACGAAGGAAATGGTAAACCAAAACTGGTTTCCCAGGGTTGCTCTGTCTACTTTGCGACTGACGATGTTCACACCCAACGCTGGGCCTCTATTTGAATTATACGGAGTAATTGATAAGTTGGCTCTCTTGGCTAAGTTGATTAATATTTTAAAATTTATGAATGGGGAAGTAAGGGATTGAAGTAGTCTACTTAGAGGAACTCTAGGGCTGACCTTAACAGAATAGTGACAAGGTATGTCGTAAGGATAAAGAGGTTAGAAGTCATGTGGTATCTACTGGGTCCAATGGCTATTCGAGTAAAGACGTGCGTAGGTGAGATTTTTGAACTGTCGTTCCGAAGGGGACATGGAACTCACCCACCCAACGAGGATTGGTTTGAGCGTGACCTTCGTTTCGAGGGGGAAGGTCAAGACTCTATAAGAAAGTTATAAGAATGAGTCTTAACCTATAATAGGTTATGAGCCATGTAAGAAGTTAAAGTCAAAGGATTAAAGTATCGAGAAGGTAATATTTATTTTTGTTAATGATGAACACGGTTATGTGATACTTGTGATGTTGTATATGTTATGCTTTTGTGCATGATATCATGTGATAATTGTGAATTAGCAGATCGCCTTTGTGTCTTTTCGATTGTTAGATATTTCTCATTGCATGATATCATGTGATATTTCTCACCCAGCTTCATTTCGAATATTAGATATTTCTCACTCAGCTTCATTCCACATTGTTTGTATAAACTCCGATAAGTATTTACATGGTTTTTGAAATGTTTGGGTTTTGAATTAAATGTTTTTAATTCCCTAGAAAATATTGTATGCGGATACCAAATTTAATAGGAACCTGATTCACTAACCTATTTATTCGGGTTATGCGGGTTGGAGTGTCACATTGGAGATCAGGTTCTTAATAGAGCAAGAGTCTCTTATAGTTTGGTTTCTCAAAATATTACATTACTTACTACAATATTTAGGGAGATCAAAGTTTATTAGTCATGATAAAAATATTTTTAGGAAATGATTTGCAAAGAAAAGGAAATAGGGAGAAAGTATGACAAGATATATAATATAATTTGTCATTTTGGAGAGAAAATGGATAGAAAATATGCATGACATGCTCGAGCAAAATTTTAACAGCAAATGCATTATCTTAAACCGTTCAAAAAGGATGAACTTCATCCCGGAGGGTTCCCTCAAACCTGGCTAGATGATATCTGAAACCGTTCAAAGCTAATAACCATCTTTTTAAATATTTCAAAAAGGCTAGCTACATAAACACTTGGAAGTATGTATATCCACTCAATTTTCAACCATTGAATCACTATTTAGATGCTCTATTAAAAATGCGAGTTATCATATTTGAAACCATCCTACGAGCAAAGGGGATGTAACTTAGACCATACCTGAAAAAGGAACAAATAATTTAAAATAATGTTAGGTGTACATCAAAAGTATTTTTCATTTGTACACTACTAATCATCTCCACACCATACATTTATCAACTCTCCACTCTTGTTATCCACATCAAGAAGAGTGTGGTGGAGAGAATGATGGTGTACAAAAAGAAATCACCCTAAATAGGATTAAAACATAGAGAAAGCAACAAAATTGGAGTACTATATTTTTATTCCCTAAACAGTAGTTTACACAGTGGTAATGTTTCACTATGCATGTGCAGTTTACGTAATGTACATGGTCGTGATTGGTAATATAAATGCATTTTAACTCTAATTTCAGGGATAAATACATGGAACTCCTATTTTGGTATATTTTCAATGTTTTAATCCTATTTTAGTCTTTTTCCCGTGTACAAATGGGATACACTTTTGGTATACTATTAGCATTTTTGAACAATTCATCTGATATGAATTGGGGGAGATTGCATTAGTTTTTATCTTTTTGGTTACTTGTTAATAGATAATAAAAATTCATGTTTGAAAAATATGAAATATAAATAGATAGAGGAGTTTGAGTAGACACTGTTTGCATTGATATATACGGAGTATTTACTGTCAGAGCTTCATTACCACTGAGAAGCAATCTAAGAAATAATAAAATGCACAAGAAAAAATTTGGAACTAAAAGATAGTATGTTTCACTGAATATATTAGTGTTGTTAGCGCATATAATGTGTATATAGTTGGGCCAATCATGTATGGCCTTGACATACTTGTATAAATACTTCTGATCATCAACAGAATACGCAACCGTTTCAGTTCCAAACTTGTATCGGAGCCTCTCTGGGATTGTCTCAAACCCTAGAACCTCACGTGTTGTCTGCATCTTCCTCCGTCCGGTCTACCAGCATCAAGGGTGTTCGCTGGCTCAACAACCGTCTTCACTAACGATGCTTTGTCTGTGGGTCATCTCCGTCAGGTTCGTCGGTGTTGCACTGTCTCTCAGTCACCACCATGTCCATCGAAAGTTCAACCTAGAAAACGAGATTGATCCACGATTCATCTTCTATTTATTATTTTCATCCTTTAGAAGGTCCCGATAATTCTTTAACCAAATATCTTCTTAAAAGTGAAAACTTTGATATTTGGGAAAAGGCAATATGTAATGTGTTAGGTGGACGTGGTAAATCCATTTTTTATCTTCCGTGGGAGTTCCCAAACCCAGAGAAGAACCTAATTTATCTGATTGGCATGTTAATTATCAGATTACTTATAGCTAGATTTTCAATAGTGTTGAATCAATCCAACTGAGTATCGTATCCCATATTATTGCCTATGAGTTATGGGATGATTTGAAAAAGAGATAACCAACGAGATCTAAACTTCTTAAGAGTAAGTCTCCTCTTAAAATCTTATCCTCTAAACCACAAGATTTAAGCCATCTCCATATCTTTGGTTGTTTGTGTTTTGTTCATCGAATGCCAAAACATTTAGATATATTTTCTCCCCGAAGTGTGAAATGTTTGTTCCTTGGTTATCCTGATGGCGAGTATACAATCTCCAAAGTCATCAATTTTTTCACACAGGATATATCGTTTGATGAAACCCAATTTCCATTTACAATACCCACACGGTCCCCGTCACCCCCACCTATCTTAAGACCATCCACAGAGGATTTTCCAGCCACTGTCGACCCATCCAGGCCGTCGACAATGGCTCCTCCAACCACGTCTCAGGCCACCACCTTATAGTCACAAGATACACCGTCAACCACCTTCTCACCACCGTCTGCTCCTCCAGTGGCTTCTTCCTCACAAACCGAGAAAATTCCCATCATCTCTTTCATTTCAGGAGGTCTCCTCTCTAGTCAATTCCCCTCCTTTCGCCACGTACTCGACGTCCTCCCTCCCATCTAAGTGACTATGTCCTTCATTCCGCCAAAGTTTTCACTCTAGTTTTCTCATCATCCAGTTCATCTTCATCAGGTACCTGGTTTCCTATTACTCGCTTTTTTCATTATAACAAGTTGCATGACAGGTTCAAAAGTTTCTTGGGAACGATTGATGATTCTCCTGTTCCTAAAATCTTCAAAGAGGCTGTTCAGTATGCTCAATGGTGTGAGGCAAACCTCCCTTCTAATCGGCGTGCCCTGGGGTGTTAAAGGCTGTACAAGACCAAATACAAATCTGATGGCACCAAGAAACGAGATAAAGCTCGTTTGGTTATAGCGGGGAATCATCAGGAGTTTGGGATTGACTTTATTGATACCTTTGCTCTTGTGGCTAAATTAGCCACAATTCGTGTGTTGTTGTCTGTCGTAGTTGCTAGGGATTAGCAGGTAGATTAGTTGAATGTCAACAATGTCTTCTTACATGGGTATCTTCGCAAAGAACTTTATATGAAGCTTCCTCTTGGGTATGAGCAGCTTTTTCCAAGGAAGGTTTGTCGTTTGCGCAAATCAATATACGGGCTCCGTTAGTCTCCCCGAAATTGGTTCACTAAACTTCGTGTGGCCTTATGTCGTTATGGTTTTCATCAGGGTCATGCATACCATACTCTTTTGTGTTTTGTCGTGGGCCGGATATGTTGGTAGTTTGGGTCTATGTGGATGACATTCTTGTTGCTGGTAATAATCCTTTTCTGTGTTCGTCATTCAAGAAATATTTGAATGAATGTTTTCATCTCAAATATCTAGGCCCAGTTTCTTATTTTATGGGCATCGAGTGTGCTCGTTCCGTAGAAGGCATGGTCCTTAATCAGCGTAAGTATGCTCTTTATATTTTCCAAGAAGCAAATTTATTTGGTTGTAAGCCTGTTGACACTTCGTTACTCAGTGATCAGAATCTCACACGTTCCACTAGTGCCAAGATACGTGATCAGACGAAGTAACGTCCTCTTGTGGATCGTTTGTTATATTTGACTATTACTCGTCCAGATTTATGTTATGTTGTACTCCCTCCGTCCCAATTTATAATGCCTGTTTACTATTCATAGGGTCAAACTTCATTCACTTTTTTTCTCAATTTTCGTTAGCAATTTGATAAAATAAAATATTGTTGTCACTACTAGTTTTGTAGATCTTTTGATGTAGTATTTTGATATGTAATTTTTATTTTTTAATTCTATACCATTTGTCATATAAAATGATTTGAAAATAGCTTCAGTCAAACATCGTAAACCGAAACAGGTGTTATAAAATGGGACGGAGGGAGTACATGCCTTGTCTCAGTTCATGAAGGCTCCATGTTTGGATCATTGGTTTGCAGTTCTGCGTGGGGTTCGCTGCCTCAAAGGCCATCATGGACAAGGTATTTTGTTACATAGTGATAGTTATCTTGCTCTTAACTGCCTTTTCAGATTTAGATTGGGCGAGTTGTCTTGTGACACGTCGTTTTATTACCGGTTATTTTATCTTACTTGGAGGGTCACCCATTTCTTGGAGGAGTAAGAAGCAGAACACTTTGTCTAGGTCTTCCGCTGAAGCCGAGTACCAAGCTATGGCCAATGCCTGCAATGAGATTCACTGGCTACGGGGTCTCCTCACCGCCGTATCTATCCCCTGCGTTGCTGCTCCTAAATTATATTGTGAGAATAAATCTATACTACTTATTGGTGCTAATCTTGTGTTTCATGAGCGTTCTAAGCATATCGACATTGATTGTCATATTGTCAGGGAATGCATTCAGCGTAATCACGTCATCACAGATTATGTTCCCACGCGATCGCAAACAACACATATTTTTACTAAAGCTCTTCCTAGTCCATAATTTCATTCTTTATTATTCAAGTTGGGCATGTTTGATGTCTATGCTCTAGCTTGAGGGGAGTATTAGCATATATAATGTATATATAGTTGGGCCAATCATGTTGGGCCTCGACATACTTGTATAAATACTTCTGATCATCAAAAGACTATGCAACTATTTAGGTTCCAAGCTTCTATAGAATAAGATCGAGTACATTTTATTTCCTTTATGACACATATTTTCGTATGATCTGCCATATATGCACTCATTAACAACGAGTATTCAAGAATGATTGATTATACAAATAAGTCTACGAATGTGATCATTAGCAATAAGTGTTGGATAATGATTGATAATTTCAATGATAATTCAAATTGATTTTTAATAACAACTTAATCTACCCAAATTGTGTAACAGGTCATTTTTTATTAACATAGGATATTATTAATACCCATTTGTATTCATTTTGGATTGGTCGTCATTTTTACGGCTATTAACGAAGCACTCACATTTTCAAAGGTAGAGAATTTTAAAATTTTTTATTATTAAGCGTTAGAGTTAATAAGACCGATGTTATTTAGGGAAAAATGATATGTTTAAGTCTTGTTTGTCTAAATTACTCAATGCACGAATATTGGAAACAATCAAACGTACTTTGGTTTTTAAATTTACTCATTGGTTTAATTAAATTTAATATCTAACTTAGTTGGAAATTTTTTTATCCATTAACATTACATATGATAAAACTTAGCTTCTTTTGTTTAATAAATTTTACAATTTGGACCATTTTCTTAAGACACAAATAAGTTTAGAAACAACTCTTTTGTGAGAATGAATTGGGTACATTTTACTTGCATTTTATCAAAAAAGTGTACATCCAACTATCCAAGTTACACCAATTTCATTTCAAAAAAAATTGTCTTTGCATTTGTCTGAAAAGCTTTGGGTAAACAATAAAAGAAGCAGAAAGAACTTACCATATAAGGGCAAGAACCTCGCATATGATGGCAACTATCGACAATATCATGCTATGAAACTGCATTCAATAATTAAGTTACCGAGCAGTATAAGATAAACCTCATACAAACTAATTAATGTCCCAAATTATTTGTCACATTTCTATTACCGAGACAAAATATCAAATTTTTTCAATTCATTTTATTTACATATTGGTAAAGAAATAAAAAATAAAAATTACATATCAAAAAACTACATGAAAAGTTCTTCGAAATAAGAGGTGTCAAGAATATTTTATTTTATCAAATAACTAATGAAAACGTAGAAATAAACAAAAGTTCCCGCGACTGTTGAAAAAACAAATGTGGCAAATAATTTGGGACGGAGGGAGTATATTAAGAGTAGGCCTGACAAATCGGTCGGTAAATTTAAATTTGAGTTCGGGTTGATCATTTCAGATTTGGATTACATTGCGCTCGAGAAAATGCTACAAAATAGTTCGGATTGAGAATTGTATGTTCATGATTCAATATTATCATGTTTGGTCGACTCAACTGAATTAGTAGGGTAAAAGTGGTTTTTTAATACTACTTCCGTCCCAAAACAAGGCTCCTGCTTGGTTTATGATATTTGAAAGATTTATTTTCAAATCAATATAAGTAAAAATTGGTATAAAATTAAAAATTATATCAAATGTTTTAGAAATTTAAAGAATTGGTGAAGTAGTTATTGTTTTTGAACAAATAATCGGTAAAGATGAGTAAAATAGAATAAGTTTGACATATAAAAAAAATAATTTATGATATTTGAAAGATTTATTTTCAAATCAATATAAGTAAAAATTGGTATAAAATTAAAAATTATATCAAATGTTTTAGAAATTTAAAGAATTGGTGAAGTAGTTATTGTTTTTGAACAAATAATCGGTAAAGATGAGTAAAATAGAATAAGTTTGACATATAAAAAAAATAACTAAAAGTCTTTTTTTTGGATGGAGTAAAAAGTTAAGCACCTTTTTTAAAAAAGTTGAACGTCTTTTCAGGACAAAAAAAGGTAAATGAATGAGGAAAGTTTTTAGGAATGGAAGTACTCCATATATTTTACTACTCCGTATATTATAAATAAAAAATATGAAAATAAAGAAGGCTTAGTCTTACTTAAGAATTAGTAGTATTATAACATAAATTTTTTAAAAAATAGCACTAGTGTCCCCACCAAAAATTTGGATACCCCATTAATATTTCCCAATCTCTAAATAAAGTCAAAATATTTTAACACTGTAATTGAAAAATAGTTTTTTAATCTATTACATATAATTTCTAAATTTGAAAGTGTTTATTTATTTAGTTACAAGTTATGCGTAAGAGTTTACAATATTGAGATAGATTTAACACTATTTTTGTCGTTTCATATTGTGTTTAAATATCAATTCTAGGTCAGTATTTTTTCACCGATCTTGCTGGTTTGTGGATCCGTGACTATTTAGAATCTAAAGGGACAAAAGAAATACTCTCTCCGTCTAACAAAAATTTTCATTCTTTTTTTATTCGTCTAAATAAACTTTATTTTGTATTCAAATAAAAGAGTATGTGGCCTAGACAAATTCCATCCTCTTAACATATTCAACCATTTTTTTGAAGGAAAAAGTGCACCATTTACCCCCGAAGAATTCGGGAGTTGCACGATTTACTCCTGAGCAATAAAAAATACACTAAATATCCCTAAATTCTTTAAAAATTGGACGGTTTACTCCTGAACATTAAAAAGTGCACCAAATACTCTTGAACTCTACGGAAATTGAACGGTTTGCCCCTGAGCATTTAAATAAAGACGATAATTTTGGGAAAGGGTATTTTGGAGAATTCATCGCAACTCCCGTGCGTGGGAGTAACACACTCCCTATCTAGTAGCATTTTAGGACCAATAGTGCAACATATTAAATTATTCATGAATATTTGGTGCACTTTTTAATGGTCAGGAGTAAATCGTGCAATTTTTAAAAAGTTCGAAAGTAAATGATGCATATTTTAATGTTCAAAGATAAACCATATAATTTATAATGAGTTATAAACGATGCACTTTTTTCTTTGAAGATAGTATTATTTGGTAATGAAGCATAAAATGAGAGGGACACTTCTTCAAACCATACCAGTAACGCACAAACAAGGGTTAAGACGACGCAGGTGACATATATTACTGTGGCAAAAACACGAACTGGGTCAAACATCATTCTTATTTGCTTCCGCGGTCCAATGAGAAAGGTTGTGCTGCCATGATAACAGCAATTAGAATAATAACACGACAACAATGCAACAAGGTTACTAGAAGAGGCACTTAAGCATTAGACTTTGTCCCAAATGGTGCGTATCTTTGTCAAAATACAGAGTATTAATTTCTTTTTTTATCCCCTAAACAATAGTATTTGTGCTATTCTGTAATTTAACATACAATATAATTAGATTGGTAAAGTCTTTCAAGAAAAGAAAATACATCTCGATAAACTTCTAAAAAGTTCCACACTTCTCTTGAATATTCTAGAGGCTTCCACACTTTTCCATAAGTTTTTAGAGAATTTTACACTTTTTTAGAATTCTTTCGATCATTCTAGAAAATTCTACACTTCTCTAGAAGGTCCTAAATTTTGCAAGAATCTCTCTAGTTAAGGAAGAAACTCAAAAAATCTCCTCTTATGAAAAACACAATACTCATTTCATTTATATGCGTATGAACATTTGACGTGCATATGCGAAATGAACATTATATTGCTCAGAGATGTACAAGAAAGAGGGTATAGGCGGTTGTATGTATGTCATATATTGCCGAATTCGAAGGGACGAAATACTTAAAATAAAAACAGGGGTTGGAAATATAACACATCATACCTTCCAACAGCAAGAAAGTTGCCAAAGGAAAACAAAAGAGCAAACTTGATGGGCTTTGCAAAAACAACACATGACTACAAATGTAAGAGAGAAGAGAAGATGAAGAGAATGATATCAGCTCGGAAAAAAGAAAGCATTATATAGACCAAGAGGTGAATAACTTTTACCAAGAACATACAGACCAGACCGGCTGCCATACAAGCAAAGAACGCATAGATCCTCTGATCAACCAAAAACAAAACTATAGTAAGAAATCAATATTGGGTTCTTTAGAATATAAAATCGTTCGTGGTTTTCAAGCATCGTAGCTTAAGCTTTTGATTGCTTTGGTTGGTTGATATGATTTTACTAAAGCCTGAATCTTTGAAATAAAACAGGGAAGCGCGAAGTTTATCACGACATTACTTGGAGATTTGAGAAAGAGCAGAAGCCTTCTTCATCATCCAACACCAAACCTTCCCCTTGTTCTTCATTATCATCATCTCTCCCCAAAATAGATTTCCACATTTCTGGGTTCACCCCAAATTTATCTCAATTTTGTGTGAATCAGAAAATGGGATTAATACTAATAATAATAATAATTCTTGAATATCAGATGTACTGCAAGAAATGAGGGCAGTTTTGGCTTTCTGACTTTCTTTAATGAAATCAATGTACAATATGTACCTTTTATGTTAACATATATCATAGTACACCTAAATGTCTATCATGTAGTAGTTGGTGAACAAACTTGAAGCTTATTGAGCATATATTTACAGACTAACTAAACAATTGCTTCTGTATGCATAAGACAAATAATGCTGTTTAACTGCTGATTTTCTTGGATAAATCCACGCTTGGGCTCTTCTGCATTCTTTCTTCTTTCTTCTTGTTCTTCTTCTAATGGGGAGTTAGCTGCTGAGTTTCTTGGACGAATCGAGTTCCATTTTCGCAAATCTTCCACGGATCCTTGGTTGGTTGTCAGCTAATGTCTTCCTGCAAGCATACTGTGGAGAATGGAAAATGTGAAGGCAGTGTTTCCAAGCTATGAATGACTTGAGCTAGTAAAAAATGACTAAAGTCTATTGATGAGAAAATAAACCAAAATAGAAATTACATTTATCTTCCTCACAAAATTCCTCTTAGTCCTCTTGCTCCTGTATCTGGAAAGCTTCTCCTTTCGATCCTCAGAAATGCCATGTTGAGCGTTGAGGAGGCTTACGCTGCCTTGTCCAAGATTCTGTCATAAAAACAAGTAGTAAAACGAACACAATTATATTAAATTTACATTATAACTAAATATTCTTTTGAAAAATTTGTGGTCAAAGTATTAGTTTTGGGAGAAAGAAAGTATATACAAGTTTGCCTAAGAGTTAAGGAGTGTTCATGGGTACTAATTAAAACAAGACCTTAATGTCCCCTTCACTGAATGATCTTCTTATCCCATAAGCAGCAGCAGCACCAAACCCCATTCCATAAAAATCAAGAAAATCAGGCCCCATTGGAGCTCCTCCATGCACCATTTCCATGGAACACAGAGACTCAAAACTCTCGCTCTTCTGAAACGACGCCTTGGAACCCGACATTCCTCCACAATTCTTGGAAATGGGACCCGGGACAACCTCGGACACCGAATCTTCCACTCCTTTGGACAAAAGATCTGTGTTGCATCCATAGAAAACATCACTGAGGAGCTGTTCCTTCTCAAATGATGATTCGATTTCTGAGACCTTGAGAAGTTCGAGGGACATGACATCTTCGGCACACGAAAGCATAGGAATGGAAGATGGCATTATTGGATCAAGATCCACAAATGGTTCTTCTATGATAGGTTTGGGAGCCTTGAAGAGGTCCCCATCTCCTCCAAGGTCATATTCAGATACCACATATGCCTGTAAAAGGGATTGCCATGTTAGGTTTTTCATTTGAAATACAAACAAAAACAATACTGTGTATACATTAAGGTTATGCCAAAAAAAGTGCTACACTTATTCTATTACTATTAGTGTTCACTAGAGACACCATTATACATCAATCAAGTGGAGAACAAAGGACAAATAGCTCATCAATCATCATCATCATCAAATACACTTCCCAAAGGAAAGCTAGAAAATAGTAGTGCCCATTTTATTTTAGAAATTTTAAAAATATCCACTGTCCTATTTATATACCCATTTCTTTGTCTCTTTTTATCTGTCTAGCTATAAAATCAACTTACACAGTTACATTACTACTCCTTCCGTCCCAGTGTATTTGTCCTGTTTGACTTTTTCGAGTCAAACTGGACAAACTTTGAGCTTCAATTAAATAAAAACCGTAATGTATTTTAACATAAAAATGACTTTATTGGATTTAACGTATTAAGAACTTTCAAAATTGTATTTCATTATGCTAATATGCAATATAAATTGAGAGCAATTGGAGTTCAAAGTTTATCTAGTTTGATTCGAAAAAGTCAAACTGGACAAATACACTGGGACGGAGTAGTAACATATATGTACATTAGTAACATTTTTCCAATTTACCATCCGTATATAATCAATTTACTTCTTTTAAATATTACCATTCGAAGTCTTATTTTTGAATAATTTGGCATCAAACCGTAATGTATTTTAACATAAAAATGACTTTATTGGATTTAACGTATTAAGAACTTTCAAAATTGTATTTCATTATGCTAATATGCAATATAAATTGAGAGCAATTGGAGTTCAAAATTTATCTAGTTTGATTCGAAAAAGTCAAACTGGACAAATACACTGGGACGGGGTAGTAACATATATGTACATTAGTAACATTTTTCCAATTTACCATCCGTATATAATCAATTTACTTCTTTTAAATATTACCATTCGAAGTCTTATTTTTGAATAATTTGGCATCAAAACGAAGGTTCTTGAACGGTTCGAGTTGGTCAACTTAGAATCTTTGCAGATAAATAAGAATAGATGGACTGTTAATAAGAAAATAATTTCCAAAGGCCAACATTCGAGTGTGTTAGGAAATACTCCCTTTGTCTCACAAAAAACTTCATTTTTTTCTTTTTTTAGATGTCCAAAAAAAATTTCTAATTCCTTTCAAAGAATTGAGTGTGCCTTAGAAAATATTGTCTCATATAAATAAAATTCACTCGCTCACAACACATTTTTTAAACTCGGTGAGGGTTAACACAAAATTTTCCACTTATATGAAATAGTATAATATAATACTAGAGGAAATTGACATTATATTCATTGAGTGCTTCTTTAGTGTACTTTGAGTGCATATCATTTTTGTGCTTCTTCTCACATAATTGAAAAAAATTAAATTTTTACTCCCTCCGTCCCGGAGTATTCGTCAAGTTTTGACTTTTGGAACTGTTCATCTAAGCACTTTGTGTAAGCCTAAATATAGTCATGTGTGATCTTGTTTGATTTGTCTTAACATATACTCCGTATATTATTAATATATAATTTCTATAATTTTTTAATATACAAATTACAAGATAAAATGGATTAAAGAAGTGTATTGGATGGTGTGTAAAAATGAAAGTGGACAAATACTCTGGGACGGATGTAGTATTTCATTTTGCATAAGAGTGATTCTTACATGGTTCCAAGATCGAAATTTAAAATATAGACATTTTGACAATTTTCATGGGCTGACATCTAGGTGTTCTCTTTTTTGCAAAAGGTCGACTTCTTTTATGTTACAAATGCACTGAAATTCATAAAATAATTCTAAACGGATCAAATGTATGATTATCAGATTTGTATCCGTTCACCAATTGGATATCGTTAATCAAACATGGATAATAACTGCTTTTAACTGTTGCCAATATTTTCTGTATAAACAGATACGGATGCTGACGGTAATCAAAATTTCAATATCTATTTACAACCCTACTCTTTTTTTCAAAAAATTTTGTTGTCATAGTATGAAAACAAGACCTACAGTGCTTCATTCATATACTACTAATGAAATTTACCCTACCATCTTCTCTTTTTACGGCCCGATATTTGTTTTTCAAAGACAAAACCAATAATAACCCCCGAACAAAAAAAGTTAAAAACAAATGAATAACTTTACATCCAAGTTCCCATAAGTTTCAAGGATGGAGATCAAAGAAAAAAGAAAGAAATGCATATGTTAAATATTTGGTCCGTCCCTGAGTGTTTGTCCACTTTTGACTTTTGAAACTGTTCATCTAAGCACTTTGACTCATCAAATTCTTTCAATGTGTAAGCCTAAAAATAGTCATGTGTGATCTTGTTTGATTCGTCTTAACATATAGATTATTAATATATAATTTTTATAATTATTTAATATACAAATTACAAGATAAAATGGATTAAAAAAGTGCATTGGATGGTGTGCAAAAATGAAAGTGGACAAACACTCAGAGACGGAGGGAGTAGTTTTTTATTAAAAAAAATAGATACTATACACATAACATATAATGGAGAGAGAAAACGAGAAAGAATTACCAGAGAGGCATTGGGTCCTTGAGAGAAACTAAGATCTTCAAATAGTTGTGGTGAATTATCTTGAGCTATGTTGTGGTAGAAGGAGAACATTAGCCCATTGTTAGCAAACATTTCTTGTTTGTATCTTTCTCCACCTGGTTATATATATATGAACTGAAAGGTCTCTCTCTCTCAATCTATGGGTTACATACACAGCATGAAACAGCCGTAATGAAGGCCAGAGAGAGAATCTGTTTTGGTTCGCTCTAGAGATACTTCTTATTTCTACTATACCCGCGGAGAGCGTATATATATATTGTGACTTGTGAGGAATCTGCGTCTCTATTGAGTACGTGGTCCCTACTAGCTAGTGGTCATTTGTTGGGGTATAAAAATGAGCAATACTAGGGATAAGAGGTGTACCCCATTTGTCCTCCACCACCTTCTCCACCATCAATTTTTATCATCTTTTTATAATTTTATTTATTTAATTTTTTTTAAATACTTGCCCATTTCTATTTAATTTGTTTGAATTTCTATAATTTAATTTTATTTATTGGTTTGAATTTTTTATTAGAGTAAATTCTCTAAATAGTCCTTCATAAATAGGGGGTTTTCATAATTAGTCCACATTTATCAAATATTAAGTAGATAGTCCTTATTAATTGGGTACTATTCCACATTTAGTCCTCCGTCCATTTTTTCATCTCCGTGCCGTTAGACAAAGACCAAACGTGGAATGATACCCAATCAATAAGGACCATGAAAATAATATTTGATAAGATGGACTAAATATGGAAATTCCCCAGGACTATTTCAAGAACTTGTTCTTTTTAAACCACTTTTAATATAAAAAGTTAACAGATAAGGAAAATGTATAACTATAGTTTATTTATAAAAAATCAAAATTTGTACACCACAATAAATATGGTGGTCCCAAAGTGGTCAGATTCAAAGTCTAGAGGGGGGTGAATAGACTTTGATACAAATTAAAAACTTTTTCGTTTCTTTTTGAAAACGTGAAAATGAGTGTTTAATCTAGAGTTCTTGTGAACCTTAGATTGTGTGCGGATGTTGGTGGGTTATTGAGCAGTAATCAATATGGATGGGTTAGTTTTCACAGTTAATATAATTGCAAGTATAAGTAAAGATAAAAGAGAGAGACACGCAAACTTTAACGAGGTTCGAAGGTGGGGTAATCCTTCTACGTCCTCAAAATCCACTATGTAGTTGGTTGTTGAATAATGAACCAACAATTACATTTGTGTGAATTTCTGCACGATATATCTTCGCAAGGCCAATATTGCTACTGCACTCGTGCTGGCTTTGTTGTTCCTTCGAAGGTCACGCTTCTTCAACAACTGCAATATCCGAACAATAGGACTTGCAAGATCAACTTGTACGAAAGTTGATGTACCCCCTTTTAATCAAGAAGTTTGATTAAAAGTTGTATCCTTCAACGTGGTGTGGTACTTGAGGCAAGGAAACTTTCAAGTGTTTACACTATAGCTCTTTTGAAGGAGGAGAAGTTTGCTTCTGGATAAGGAGTTTAAAGATCTCTCTTTATCAAGCTTTTTGGCTAACTGTGAATGAGATAGCTTTGTTGTAGTTAGGTTGATGATGGATCAGTTCTCTTGTATCTCATTTCTTCTCCAGTCTTCTAAGGATGCTATTTATAGCTGGATTGGGTAATCAATCCGTTGAATCAAAATAGACTATCCGTTGCATTTGCTGGCTTCAATTTTGAATGAAGATTGTGATTGAGGATTCCTCATTAGAATGGGTGTTTGGACATACCCAATTGTTTGAGGAGGGATTCCTTTTTCCATAGAATCCGTCTTCTAGCTGTTTTTCAAGAATTCTGGACTGTAGCTCTTTAATGAGTGGAGTACTCAGTTTGTCTTCTAGTGCTTGTTTAGGAATTCTGAGCGAGCTCTTCAATTTGAAAGGTCCAGACTTTGTCTTCAAGTCATTTGTTTTTGAATCAGCTTAATTATCTTCAATCTAGCCGTTGAAAATCAAGAGATTGATTTTTCCTTACCAACGGGTAGAATTTCTTCATTCAGGACTTAGAATTTTTCTAAGTCTTTTTCTCACTTGTCCGCTTCTGAGAATTCCGGTCTTTCTTGAGGCATCCGGTTCTTTGCTGACGAATCTGGAAAAGTCGTTTATAGACTTCCGGGTGAGAAAGAGATCCGCGTTAGTCTTCCGATCTGGATGACTTAGCCTTCAGCGGGTTGTAGCGAGACATCCGGTTATCATGTAGTGTTCCGGATTTGAGGATCTTCAAGGTAATCAACTGCCTTGAGGATTTCTTACTTGTCTCTGACATATCCGATCAAGATATCCAATTTCCATATCACTGAATTTGGTTAAGTCTTCAAACATTGACATCAAACCTCAGAGTGAAATATCACAACTTTATTGGAAATCTCAAGAACTCGGTTTTAACAATATTTCTAAAAAGAAAAATTACATTGAATATTGGGGGAGACCTAAAGTCCCTATTACAATCTAAATACATCATCATCAAAATCTATAATATTTTTCCCAACAAAATAGTTTATCAAAACATTCATTTTTTAATATGAGAATCTGTTTGAAATTGATAGGAATTAAAAAGAAATTCGAAGTTATTATCCCTTTTTAATAACATAAGAGCTTCAAATTTTTATCTCCAACCATTAATAATTTCAATATAAAATACCACTATACAATAGCATTATGTCACAGTGCAAACTCGTATTTTGAGGGTAAATTATTTGTTATGATAATTTAAACTTTTTATATACAAACTATAATAATATACTTTTCATACTCCCTCCGCCTCCCAGTTTTTGCCCACTTTTGACTTTTGAAACTGTTCATCTAAGCACTTTGACTCATCAAATTCTCTCAATGTGTAAGCCTAAATATAGTCATGTGTGATCTTGTTTGATTTGTCTTAAAATATACATTATTAATATATTATTTCTATAATTTTTTAATATACAAATTACAAGATAAAATGGATTAAAGAAGTGCATTGGATGGTGTGTAAAAATGAAAGTAGACAAATACTCTGGAAGGGAGGGAGTATTTATTACTACCCTCGTCCGTGAGTATTGATCCATTTTTGAATTTTTTGTCAAAATCGGCAAACTTTGACCACGAATTAAATAAAATTAATATTAGATATTGACGAAATTTTTTTTATTAGATTTATTTCATAAAATATTTTTAAAATACTATTTTATTTAATAAATATACCATATATATTTTATTTAACTATAAGTCAAATGTTAAAAATGGTTGACTGCAAAAAGTTAAAATTGGACAAAATATTCAAAGACGAATGTAGTACATTAAATATTAAAAAAGGTTTTAAAAAAGTAAATTTTCTAAATAGTCCTTTTTAACGGGGGAATTTCCATATTTAGTCCATATTATCAAATATTATTTTCGTGGTCCTTATTGATTGGGCACCATTCCACACTTAGTCCTTGTCTAACGACACGAAGACAGATAAATAGAGGGAGGATTAAACGTGGAACGATACCCAATTAATAAGGAATGTCAACATAATATTTGATAAATGTGGACTAAATATGGAAACCCCCCATTTATAAAGGACTATTTATAGAATTTACTCTTTTTATTACGGTAAATTTAATCAGTGTGAGGCACGGAGTCGAATAAAATTTTTATTGATTCTGTAAATTATTTTAAGTGAGATATTTTTAAATGAATTTATCAAACCATATGTAATGTCTTCTTTAACTCTATAAATATTAAAATCAAAGTAAAATAAGTAATTTAGCATTGAATATTTGGTAATAAAAATTCTTATATATAAATTTAAAAGCAAACACCTCAAAGTCTTTTTTTGAATTCATATTTTTGGAAGCGCTTTCGGGTATACAACATTTTAAGTATGGTTTCAAGGGTTTTCATTATTATCTAGAACTTATATTTTTAACAAGTCTTTGTTTTCTTGCGTCCCAAAAAAATTTCACACACTTTTTATATTTTACTCCATCCTTCCAAAAACATTCTTCCTAGTTACTATCCACATGGTCAAACTTTAAACATTTTCTTTACCTATTTTTGTTAGTTATTTGATAATCACTCATTTATTGAGTTGGTTAAAACCTCCTCAGATAAGAGAAACCAGCATGGGGGAATGGTTGGCCTAGCTAAGAGACTTAAAGAGCGCAAAGGCAAGATCAAAGACTGGAACGCTAACACTTTTGGCGATGTTTTCAATAAACTAAAGTTGGATGAAGAAGCAGCTATACAAGCGCAGGAGATTTATGAAAAGAATTCTACCCCTGAAAATAGAGAGCAGGAGAACAAAGCCAAAGCCCAGCTGATTTTAGCCAATAATTAATTTTGAACTTGACTTTTGGAAGCAGAAAGCCAATGTTAAGTGGATGGAGGAGGGGGATAGTAGCTCCAAGTTTTTCCATGCCTACGTTAAGGGGAGGAGAGCCAAGCACCAAGTTAGGAGAATTTTTTATGACAATAGAAAGGAAGACGCTAACTTGGAAACCATTCACAATCTAGCAATTGAATTCTACACCAACATCTTTAACAAAAGGAAAACAATCACTATGGAACCAGTTTTAGACTATCTAGAGGAGGCTTTCAACCAAAAGGATAACATCAATATCAGTAAAATCCCTACAACAAAGGAAATTAAGGAAGCTGTCTAGAGCCTTAACCAAAACAGTGTCCCTGGTCTTGATGGATTCAATGGTTCTTTCTTTAGGGTATGGTGGGATATCATAAAGGAAGATGTCATTAGTGCCACCCAAGAATTTTTTATCGGAATCCCAATCCCAAAGAGCTATGGCAGCACCTTCATTACCCTCATACCTAAGACTAACAACCCAAAGAGCTTTGGGGATTACATGCTTACCTCTCTTCCTACTTTCATGAGCAAAATCAACACAAGGATATTGGCTGATAGGCTACAAGTTATACTTCCTAAAATCATATCCCCTGAACAGACTGGATTTCAAAAAGACAAGGGAGTGGATGAACATATTCTTTTAGTGGAAAAAATGGTACACACGTTAGACTCAAAGATCAGAGGTGGTAATGTCATCCTCAAATTTGATATGGCAAAAGTATTTGATAACATGGCAAAACTATTTTTTGGAAAAACTAGGCTTTTCAAACAAGTACCAGAAGCTACTTCTTGCTAACCTAAAGGGCACTCTCATATCTGTCATGATCAATGGAAGTCCTAAAG